TTTCCACTACAGAAAGAAAGGAGAATTCAGCCCATGGACTTAATTGAAGAGAGTGCGACGGGGAATCTGTGACGATATCGAAATAATACTTTTGCAGAGTGAGCTTGTGGCCTAGTGATTTCAAATTTAGCATCCTAACCACGGGACCCGAATGTGAATCTTACCATGGCCGATTTGTCAAGGTGATGCCTTCTTGATAATACTGAGGTGGTGACTTCTTGATATATGCCTGGAGAAATGATCTCAACGTGTGTTTCCGTTAAGGAAGCGTCTCAGGCATCACTTTTTGGTCAAAGTTTTGTGAGTGAAATATCGTAGATTCAACTGTTTGAAAGCCATCGATGGCTGTGTTGGAACGAAATTACATGTCATCGTGACCGGATTTTTGCGCGTACAGGCCTTGTTTCTCTCAGAACCATGCCAGGTTGGCGCTGTAGATGTTGACGAAACACAAGTGCATCAGAGCAGGTGTCTACAAGATGAATTACACTCTTGTGCAAATTAATTGAAACAACCGCTTTAGTTTCCTTTCTTTCACCGTACGGTCAGTTTTAGACCCACTGAAGTGACAGGGTGTAAATCGATTTCTATTTTTAACTCAGATTAGCTCATTTTCAGTGGTGTGCAGTAATATGAATCTATTTTGGGGTTGTATGATGAAATTTGTTTGGCCTTGAAAAACATTTCCAATGAAGCATACGAAAATTGTAACGCTGCGCGAACACGCTATACCAGTGAGCAAATCAAAGTACTATAGACTGGCCCGGAATCTCTTCTGATTTAAATTCAGTCAAGAATCTATGGTCAGTCTGCAATAATAACTTTGTGGAATGGACATACGAAGTACTAATATGTGCACTGGGTCATGTTTCATTGGAAAAATACAACAAAAAAAGTAAATAATAACGGTATTATTCGTTTTGTTTCAATTAATTTACACAAGGGTGTACTTTGTATAAAATGTATAACAAATAGCTACATTTAACCACAGCAAACTTTCTTAACTTTGATATTACCTATGTATTTAAAAATAACAAAAAAAGAATATTTTGCTAGAAAGAAACGTGTAGAATTAACACTACTGCCTTAATTCTTAATACTGTTAAAACTGACATTTAAATTAGCTATAATCTATATGTCATAATAATCACACATATACGCATTATTATAATTTCATATTGTTGGTATCTATGCCTGTAAATATAGAACTGCGCACGCCTTTTATCTTCCGTTGTTAGTATTAAGCATATTCTGTCATATCTATTGGCTCTTCTATACTAGAAATCCTGAATTAAACTTGCTGCCCTGCTAATCTCTCTCAGTGTTTTTTCACACATTTTTTATCATTACAAAGGTCAGAATTATAACTATTGATCTGCTGTTTTCTCGTTTATTCGCTTAATAATCTAATAAAAGCTTAGTATTCAACATCTGCATTTTCTGAAGCAAGTCAAGCGCAAATAATTTACATCTCTCCTGATTTAAATCCAATCGAGAATTTGTGGTTAATCTGAAAGGGACGACTTCGTGGAATAAATATACGACGTACTAACATGTGCATTGGTTTATGTTTCAGTGGAAAAAAATACTAGAAAAAAGTAAATAATAACGGAATCATTCCTTTTGTTTCAGTTAATTTGTATAAGGTTGAAGCTAGCAACTCTAGCAAACACTTATACGTAGAAACGAGCAACCATGCTAGGTTGGCCCTGTACATGTTGACGTAGCACAAATGCGTCTGAGCAGGTGTCTACAAGAGGAATAAGGTAGTAACTCTAGCAAACAATTATACGCAGAAATAAGCAACCATACCAGGTTGGCCCTGTAGATTTTGATGAAACACACATGCGTCTGAGCAGGTGTCTACAAGAGGAATAAGCTAGCAACTCTAGAAAACAATTATACGCAAAAACGTGCAAGCATGCCAGGTTGACTGTGTAGATGTTGACGAAACAGAAATGCGTCTGAGCAGGTGTCTACCAGAGGAATAAGCTAGCAACTCTAGCCAACAATTATACGCAGAAACGAGTAACCATTGCAAGGTTGACTGTGCAAATGTTGACAAAACACAAATGCGCCTGAGCAGGTGTCTACACGAGGAATAAGCTAGCAAATCTAATAGACATTTACACACAGAAAGGAGCTACCAAACATTATTTTAAAGTGAACTAAAGAGCTATTGACTTATATAAGAAACATTTCTTTAATATTAAATGTCTGAATAATTTCTAAACAGGCCTCGGATGTATATAGTTGTTTGGTATAATTATATTCGTATGTATTGCATAGAAAAGAAAGAAATGATAATATTAAGCTTGGGTTTGAGGATTTTTGCGTTGCTGGTGGTCGTGATGATCGTAGTGCTGGGTTCCCATTGCCGATAGTATCTTGACTGAGAAATATGAAATAAACTTGGGTGTATGGTTTGGAAGCAGACTGACAATAAATCCTGATGATCATGTTTTATAGCCCACAGCTGGAAAATGAACAACAACCCTTTAGGGCTCTTCAACACACACTCTTCGCTCTTTGCATTTTTCCTGTAACTTTTTGTTCGTATTTTAACTTTCTCTGGTATTTTCTACTCTAGTTTGGAAAAAAAATGACAAGGGTTTATGTTCACCACTCAGCAGGCTACTTGGTGCCGTCTCTGAGGAAACAGATAAGTTCCGGTATTCTATAGAAAATTTTGTTTTACATATGAATATGAGAGAATTCAAAAAAAATGCATACACATTCATTTTCTATCCTTCCTCATCCGACCTACCTACACAAAAAACACACACACACACACACACATATATATATATATATATATATATATATATATATATATATGAAGAAATATAGTTTTAAGGTGTTCTATGTTTTTGGGATAAAGTGCTCAATATCAGAGATAGAGCGTATGTAAATGTCAAAGTGGACATAAAGTCAACACTCAGAGGCGACAGGCTGATTGTCAGGTCGACGATTGCGTCTAGCATCTTTTCACCCTGTCGCCTCTGAGTGTTGACTTCCATGTCCTCTTTCATTTATATATATATATATATATATAACAGGTAGACAGGTTCTAGCTCTTTAGGATTATATATATATATATATATATATATATATATATATATATATATATATATGTGTGTGTGTGTGTGTGTGTGTGTGTGTGTGTGTGTGTGTGTGTGTGTGTGTGTGTGTGTATATATATATATAGATATAATCCTAAAGAGCCAGAACCTGTCTA